GTGGTTCTGTCAAACATCCATTTTTTCGGACGATGGACTATCGTGGTTATTTGCTGCAACCTCTTTCTTTCTAGTGGTACCGTCGAAATCGCAGAATGACCTGTGATTGGAGAGCGACTCAATGCCTGATAAACAAAGTCAGGTAGTTAAGTGTCCGACTCCCAACGGCAGAACAGTGAGGTGATGTTTCTTCCTTTGAGACGGGGGAAAAAGGGGGACCGGTGATCCAGGAGGATAAGGAGATGTCTCACACTTACCTGGCGAATGCATTCATAAATTGTGGGTGTACTTCATTCTTTAGTGATGTAACGCTGACCCGTGTATTCGGAATTTACGGTTAAGTTTGGCTTTAAAAAATGACTTTTAGAACACCTGATTACGTGACTCTTAACGTCGATCATTCACAGTTATTTCACCAACCAGTTTCTCCAAATCGCTGTGCACGGCCACTTGGCAGACGCTACATGTGGCATGCATATTATCAGGGATATCACGATGTTCATTATTACTACCGCAAATTCAGGGTTATTAGGCAACACTTTTCTTTCCGAAAATTCAAGGTGAAAGAACAGGAGAGTTCAGTTTCTCGTTTGTCCATTCATCCTGATATGTAGCTACGTTAGTTTGTTGGTGAACAAAGTTCGTTGGTGCGTATAATATAGCAGGAATAAAAGCTTACTTTGGGACAAAATGGGGGTATACTTAGGAGGTCACTTACCCCGGCTATCAGACACCTTCAGAGAGTAAAATTGCGCCCAGTGTCGAACGGTGTAAACCATGCTGAAATGATGTCTGTTAAATTATGTTAAAATGACGTTGTTACTCTGAATTCAGAGGATCCCCCCATAAACTGCTTCTACGGCGGCAGTTACAACAGCTTGCGTCGTAAAGTTGAATTGCTTTGATTCTTCTGGCGATGCCGAAAGTTTCTGCGGTGCCAATGTGGTATCCCTACATTCTGCAGTTGGCCCGAAGTTCAGGTTTTCAAGCAGTTGCCATCTGTCAAACGACTGATACGTCTGACAGCGACTTTTCCACAGAATGTTTGGTTGGGAATCCATTCCGATTGTAAATTTATGCCCCATGATGGCAATTCAACGTTTTCCGTGGGAACTTCAGGTCTTGCCCAGAGTTTCAGAACTTAGCCAAAAGCAGACTTCGGTCACCTTCGACGTTGCTTAGACTAAACCAGGGGTTATTGCAGACTGGGATCAGTCATGATATCTATAAGTCAGTCAAGTGCGACGACTACAAAAATTGTGATGCGGTATATTAAATCAGCCGTTTAGAGATTAGCTTATGGGGATGAAGACGAAGTTATTCATAGAAGTTATGTAAACGAGGCTGAAGCTGAATATACCGTGATAGAATAAGGAGAGGTAGTATGGAACTAGATACATATTTATGTGTGAAAACCTGGTGCGTCCAAGTAAAATGGAGTTATAAACACTGAAATAAAACTCGCGCTTTTTACGATAGTGGCAAACATGCTTCATTTAGTCATGGGCAGCGGAATGAACATGGTGTTGTCTACCGAATGTTATCTAAATCAGGGCTAAAGGGGCGACATGACAGTTTAGAGTCAGCTGAGGTAGTGTGTAGGGCGAATTTATGTTGTCAGTGCACCCCACCTTTGTTGTTTACTGCTTCAGCATCATTATTCTTTCGTTTGGCATTCAAAAATCATCATAAGTATGAGGGCCGTAGGTTGCACAAAGGTACATCACACAGGTAAGGGTTCTTCGAGTTTATCTCCTGGCTATCATGTCTGCTGGTCAGTTGTCACCATCTTCCCATCGTCTTAAACGAATCCTTAACTACTTCCACACTGCGGTCAACAAAGTTGATGGTTAAAGGGCGGTTTCAACTGACCCTCAGCTCACGAATTTGGTGCCTACATTACGGACCTTATCATCCCCAGGTATGTGTCGCAGATCAGCCAATACTCATGGCCACTGTACTTCCACCTATGTTGCAGTACAGCCTGATTTACGACGTAAAAATGATGTGTACTATTGCAGCATATAAAGGCCCCAAGTGTACTATAGAAGAAAAGGAGAATGTTGGGTGTAATATTAGTTCGTAGAAGGAAATAATAATAACTAACCTAACTTGAGCTAGAGGAGCACCAGGGTTAGGATCACTAACTAGCATCAGAGACGTTATGACTGCGAATATGCATGCGACAGTAAGGAATTGAACGAACATTGCATATCGTGTGATGACTTCGGTGCAGACATTCCCTCGTTCTCCACATTCTTAAGCTTTCCGACTTTGGCCGAACTGATGAATTTGGTTGTAAACATCATCGTGTTCCTATGTAATTGGAATCGTGCCGACCATGTGAGCAGGTAATTTTGGCACTATAAACCAATGTTTAACGTAGGGTCATTAGTCTGCCATAGAAGGAAACGATTCAAAGTTAAAAGGGCAGTGTGTGAGTAAAAAATAGAAACCTATAGTATAGTGGTGCACTGCGACTAGGCATTTAAACCGTGTCGGCAGAATGCAAGGTTTAATAAACCTGTGAATCAAACAAGAAAGCAGTTAGGGAGAGGGATATTAGTACATAAATTCAACGAAAATGATAGCAAATTAACAACCGCATTCATCTTATCCAGTGGTGTCACCACTAAATGCAATAGCTGTCGACAAATGGTTCGGCATCGTTGGATACCGGGAACCCATTACCTAGGCGGTGAGACCGGCCAAGACGTCTGCGTGCTCGCATAAAGGATGGACGTTTGTTTCATAACATACCACTTTGTGTGGTTGAAAATCCGCATTGGGGTTGTGAGCGATACTTTTTTTATAGGAATGGTACGCCTGCCGTTGCTGAGACAGTATGCCGGTGTTGGTCTAAAAGTGATGGGACATTTTGTTTTAGATTTGTCAAATAAAGGACGGAGAAGAAAGATTCAGCTTCAGGTGCCTTGGCCAGAGAGGCTCAAATCCAGTTTTTCGCACCTTACCTTGTAAGGAAGTCCCTCGTTATGGAAAATTAAGCACCAAGAAAAGTTTCGGTGGATTTTCCCGACCTGAATCCTGTCAGATGTACTAATATAACCGTAGAAAACAGTGTAATACTCCAATATTTAGTGGACCACAACTTTGTATCGCATAAGTCTTGCCTCCAGTGTGTATGCTTTTGTGTGTAGGGCCTATGTATCCTCTGCCTTCGAGAACTTCTGAACCAGTACACTCTGTAAAAGTTAGGCTCCGAAAGTAAGTGATGCCAAGATCTTACACAGTGTTGAGAAACTGCAGTGGGGTGTTACCTAAGCGTAGTGTCACACCTGGGTTGGATCTGTTGAAATGGAGGAGGCCTTTCTTATTAGGGTTTAAAGGGAGCTGCTGGGCCACGCTTCAAGTGCACGGTCTCTTCAGGCAATCTTGCATTGAGGAGAAACTTTCCGTTAGTGCTCCCAAGGAAAACTGTGACAATTTTCAGATAGTCTGAGAAAAGATAAGGTATTCCGTATCTTATTACATTGCAGATGTCGCTTACGTATACTATGAATGGTTACGGTCCGGGCCAGTACCCTGGACGACACCACTCCGTATAGGCCAAAGATAGGGTTACCCCCAACCGAATTTTACTCCAGGGATATTCTGAACCAGAAAGGTAGCGGCTGCAGCAATACACATGATTTCAGTCCAGAGATTGGGCTTTTGCATGGCACCTTATTGAATGCCAGCTTGAACCCGAGGAAAAGGGTATTTGCCAATCGGCCATATTCACGCTTAGTTGTAACACCGTTCAGGTGGCCAGAAAGCGGGTATCGCGTTGAAGGCCTCCCGAGGAAACATGCTGTGTTGGAGAAAGTAATTGGTTTATTGTCATGTAGCTGACAACTTCCTTCACAGTCACCTTTCCCACAGTTCTGGATACTACTGACGTGACGCCTCCAGGTCGGGATTTTTCGGTATTAGATGCTGGTCCATACTTATTTTTGAGAGACACGTGTAACGGTATCCAGTTCCCATGGTAATTTCCTCTGAAGAGGGACATATCACATAGCTTTGAGAGGATCGGTGGTATGTCTTCCCCACTACTTTTTAGCAAGGTGCATGGGATTCCATATCTATACGGGGCTCCAAGTCGTGCTAATGAGACAGAAATGTTTTGAGGAGTGAAAGGCACATCATCTGTGTAGCAAGTCGATGTTGACGGTGTGTCAACGACTTCTGTTTTATACTCGTGCATAAAAAGCTGACAGACTGGTAGCTGAACGGCCGGCAAATCTGTAGAAGGTCACCACAGGAGTTCTCATTGTCTATGAGTAAACTATAGTAATTTATTCTTTCAAATACGAGTTCGCACCCGTTTACAGACGTGATTATGTACCGGCACCAGTTTGAAAATTCTGGCCGGTACGGCTCCATTGCTCAGAGACATTTGTGTTTATTTCACATAACTTACATAAATGCTTACCATTTTTACAGACATAACCTTATCGAGTAAGTATACAGAATACAATAAGAAAACGTATATCCAAAGTTTCTGCACAAATCAGCCCTTTGCGAGGATGAATTTCGTTCACAGTAGGACTGAGGAAAGTACCTTAGTCCACTGGAGCTTACTTGAGGCCAAAAGGTTAGCTTTCAGCTAGCGATGGAAAAGTTCTACCATGTAATTTACCTGTGCATACTGGGCTGTCTATACGGAAGTGGTCGAAGAGAGCATCTGGGTCAGAAAAAGAACCAAAAAGACCTTTCGATTGTCACGTTATTCTAGACTTTTGGAAGTTATTGTTGACCCCACTCTCTAGCGTCTTCGCTAATCCCAGGTAAGCGGAAACGGTTTCAGAAGGGTTGGTAAATTCCTCCAATAATTCCCACTCATATTTTTTTTACGACTTCTAACAGAATCTAGGCTAGCCTGAACTCCTTAAACTCTAATGTTCCAACGTCTAAAATTGGTCTCACAATTATCTACTGTGGGCTTCAGCTTCATGAATTGCAGTCTCTTATATGGAAGGTGTTGGATACATTTAACCCAAGAATTGAAAAGGAGGTAGTAGCTCAAGATAAAAATATCCTACCACCCAGATATATTCAATGTGAAAACGTTCTGCAATCCTGTAGTTTTAACAGTAACGTTACACCGCGTGCTTTTAACCGCAGTGAGTAAATTTAATCCTGAAGTGCTATGGTACTTGTTAGATGCCATGCTCCACCTAAGAATACGAATTTTCTTTTTATAAGTGTTTCTGTTAAATTTTTACACTTTCCGAACACAATGGTTCACTCAGTAGTATCGAGTGTCGTGTACTCATCGTGCCAGCAATTGTTTAGGGCAAACAAGAGTAAGCTTGGTTTAAAAAGCCGGAGAAACGGCTCAGTTGACCTCCAGCCACTATCCTGTTACCAGATTACCAGTGGGATTTTAGATGGGACGCTGAGATACGACTTCCAATACTTGCAAAAGTTGAGAAAGCCGTAAGTGGTTTGCAATAAGAGGGGCAGCAGGGTCAGGTGGTCTGGCATCGAATGCACTTAAGGACAGTAGTTGCCAATTTCCGTTCATGTTGACTGACTTGTTGGCTAGTTGATGAAAGATATCACCTGATCTCATTCACGGATTTCTCCAGTCTTGAAGAAACGGAAGGAGTCCGCTTGTTTTAACCACAGGTGAATCAAGCTGATGAATAGTCCAGGTTCCATCAATAATGGGGGGCTAAGTCGAGTTTGGGAACAGCGAAACTGGTTATAATAAGCCGTTTCAAACCTGGTAGTGAGTGTATCTACCATATGTCCATTCTTCACTAGTTTCTGGGACACAATTGCCGACACCCGACACTAGCTGTATTTCTCGAATTGAAAAAAGTATTCGACTCTGTCGATCGTTTCTTACCATTGTTCTGATCCATGTTAGGAAATGTAGACCGCCTGGCTGGGGTACCCGAGATGAAAAGAATCATTGGTTGAAGACTTGATGATATGGCTGGAAGTCGGTGACAGTGGCGCAGATGTCTTCCCTGTTTGACGTTTCCCATAACTTCATTGTTTACATTAACCCTTGATTTTAGATTGTTTATTCCTTCTGACAACCTTTCCTATCCACCTATACTTTGTATACTACTGTGAAGTGTGGCAAACTTAACCAATGCACATGTGTGCGAGGTTCTGCATTGGTTTTGTCAGCGAGTCATCGCAGTGTCTCACTGAAAGGTGTGCCGGGCAATTACATCACTTTGTTGAAAGCTCTTTACTCCTAAATTCGAGCACGTTATCGGTGTGGAGTAGTATCAGGTGAGTTGTGTACTCGGAGTCGTCTGTCAGGAATATCCACTTTCTATTCTTATTCAGCATCAAAGAGATACTTATGGAGGTCTCTCTCTCATCGTCTAAATTTGCAAGAATTGATCTTATCACAGGAGAAGCCGTGGTTCACTTAGAGAACGCAGATGACAGTCCTGATAGTTGAAGACCTTCGCAGGATTCAGTCTTGTAGATAATTTGAGGGTATCTGGGATGTGTTTATCCTAACGAATAAAATTTTTGCTTCGGAGCTGGTTTGCGTAAGTGACCTGCCTAAAAGTAGGGAAGGAAGTGGTTAGACACCTTGACCAATTCACTTAATTCGGAAGTCGGACCAGGTGGTTTAGTCAATGACCAACGAAATCTCGTCACAGATTCCAATGAGTCAATTAATTTTCGGCAACTTTGTCATCTATGGCATGGACAAGATATCTAATTTCCTACCAAATTTCGGGTTTCCTGTGCTTCAGTTCATCCTTTCCCATTATATAGCTATGAAACATGGTCCTTAAGGGTTGAGGACTTTAAGAGATAAAATGTTCGATCAACATTGCCTTCCGTGGCCTTAGCAAACACTATGTTTTACAGTGCAACGAAGTCAGTAATGCAGAGGTAAAATACGAACGCCAGTTGACAAAGATACGAGCCTTTACCAACTAAGGTGTCTGGGACATGTTACGGAGGTTTAGTAACCACCTGGCTCGTCGCGATGTTGGCTAGCATGAGTTCAGGTTAGTAGTGGCCAGGTAGAAACGTAGCACCAGTCTTTGAAGTCTAACTAATGGTCTGAGTTGTGTAAGCATTTGTAGACTTCCCGGGCAAAGTCGACGTGACAACAGAAACTAGTGGTCGGATGCTCTAGGTGATACAGTTATGGCTCAGTGGCTGATTATCTTGATTTCAGTCGTAATACTGAATTGCAGTATTCTCTCATCCTTCCTTGCTACCTTCCAATAACTTTCTGACACTTTTCACGGCTTTCTTTATTTCTTCATCTCTCATCTCTGATTCTTTTCATCTTGGGTAACTCAGCCGGGCGGTCTACATCTCCCAACAAGGCTCAGACCAGCAGTCAGGGACTTCATCAACTAGTGCCAGGTATTGATCTGACAACCCTCAACACTCCTACAACCTAATCCAACTTACCCTAGCACAACACTTCGAGACAGGCGGTGGATCAGCATGCGCAACACCTATCGAAGCAATCTCAGACAATGTAGGTTCACGACCTCATCAATCGACTTCCCTATCATCCCTACTACTCGTCGCCTGATCTCAACATTGCTCACACACTGATTCCACCAAACGCGAGCAAGGCTATGAAGACATCTGTGATCAGAACCATGTAATCACTTCTTCTACTCTACTTTCAACAGCCATATCTCACACCCGCATTACAGGACAGAACAAACTGCATTCTACTCCTTTACTAAGTGGTCGGATATCTCGCCAATCAGTGCCACAGATGACTCAAGTTGGCAAATGTAAAACAGGCCTTTTGTATCCAAATAGAGATTTCGTCAGCAACCACCCAGTTCGAGCTGACACAACTCCCCAAGTAACTCAAGTAGTCGATACATTCCATGTGGGGCGATGCAGACTAAGTGGTAGGGGTCAGTGGGGCAAGAGAAACCAGTGGTTGGAAACTCCAGGTGATACGGCTCAGAACCGATGTCAGTGGCGCAGATATGTACACACATTATCCTCATCTTAACACCATACTGATTCTCACCTTTTCGTCATTCTTCCTTTCTTTCTTCTCACACTTTATATTTCTTCTGACTGGATTTTCTTTTCTTCGTCCTCCACTTCACTGCCTTTTTACTTGATGCACTGTATCGAGCTGTGGCAACTTGGACCGTTACGCAGTAATGCCTGGTCCTATGTTGATATTGATGATGATGTCAATCTCACCTTCAGCACATTGTATAAAGGTATTTGTTTGGAATAGTTGTATTCAATTCCAAAAATACTTTTTTGATAAGATCTAGCATCAAATGAGAAAACATGAATAAACGTTTCATTACCATTTCGAAAGTGTATCGTCAATGTTTCCTAAAACATTCAGATGTTATGGTATGCAGACAAAAGTATGACACTTTTAAATCGAATGGCTTACATTATTTGTGAATATCGGCATTTCAGGCAATGAAGGTTTCAGATTACAAATTTTCTAATCACTTTGGATTCCTAAACCTCAAAATTTATTTTATTGTTTACTACCAATGGTATCGTTGTGAAGGCTGTGGTTCACTGAGTTATGCACTCACCTTTCAAACAGTTAGTGTCGGGTTCAAATCCAGTTCTACCTACTTAACTTTTGGCCACGTGCTAGTACTATAGCTCTTCATCCATTGAGTGGATCTTGTGTATCTACCCATACCAAGTCGTAGAGTTGAATTTACCCACCTTTCCCTTTTCATTGACATTTCTGATTTTGAATGTAAAAATTGCACGATTTGCTTTGAAAAACGCTATGTGATGAGTTCGCGATTTTTAGGGAATGTTAAAAGCTTGTGCTGAAGACGGGTGTGAAATACATTTTTTTCTTCATATGCTAAGCATTCATCGAAATGCACTTAGCGACCACGTGCACACATTTAGTAGACAGTGTGCCACACTTATGGGAAAGCTAATGGTACTACTTGGTTGTATACGCCTCGACAGATGTAGCGGGGTTCGAGCCCACTGGCCACTCGTTGAAAGCCAAGATTTCTTGAGAATAACTCACAGCTCCACTAAAGTATTTGTGCGTTGCTGTAGTAAGAAATACGCTTCTGTTTCGGATTTGAGCGGCTGACATGCTGGGAACTTCTGTTACTTTCACTTTACAATGCTTTCCTAAAGCATTTTTCTGATTTTTTTATTTGTTTGAATTAGCAGCAGTATTCTCTTGAGTGACATTTCCTTAAATTACTTATTATCTTTCCATTTTCAAAGCTTGTATTATGCATCAACAACTGGTGTTTTTTTGTTTTAGGTTATCTATGGCTGAGGGTTTAAACATTGACTTTATTCCACCAAAGCTGTATGTTTCTTGCAGCGAACCTATTATCAGTGAGGTCGATATGAACATAAAATAAAAAGATTTAGATTATTCTAAAAAGCAAGTCTCCTATTTGTGGAAACTTCGAAGGACTTGGAGTTATCAAAATGATGACATACTTCTAAGTCATATGATCCACATTCGATTTAAAAACCAGTTGCGCCACTTTCTGTTTTTCAAATCATTCTGCTCGGTAATTGTCTTCTTTTAATTCTGATATTTTTAAAGGTTCGACGCATTCTGACACAAATTTGTGATGGTTCTGTTTTTTTTAATGGAATTTCAAATTTCATCAACATGTCTACAAAATGTCCGAAAGGGCATCATGTTAGTGGACACACTTTGGATCATGTACTAGTGTGTTTAATTCACCTATATAAGAAGATAGAGGTACTTTTGACGCGTTTAATTTCTTGTTGGAGGTATTTAACATGTAAAAAGAAGCTTATTGTTTAGGTCATGCAATGCACAATTTACTACTGGACACTTCACGAAAGTTCTCTTGTTAATTATGACAGTCATTTCAAGTTTGAGGCAAGTTCACATCTCATATCGATATTCTTAGGTTGCAAGCTATTAACTCTCTTGATGAAGTTAATTGTTGCTATGAAAATCTATTTGCCTTGAGAAGATCATTAACAAACTTTATAACTTGGGTAATTTATGTATATACTTCATTTTTTTTAGTTACCTTTTAATATTACTTTACCACCTTCTCTAGGACATCAAAGGAAGGCAAGTGTAGCAGATATCGAACGCCAAAATATGTACAGTGTTTTTCAACCTAGTTTCATATAATACTGTAGAGACACTGAAGCTGATGAACAAGTAAAAAATGAAAGTACTTTTTCGAACTGTCCATCGGTAACGGAGATCCCCCACAATTCTTATAAGATCAACAAACTCAGCAAACCCTCGACAGGAAAAGTAGGTTTGTACATTTGTATTTCATTTCACCTACCGATTCAGAAGGAGAAAGTCAAAAGGTTTAGCTGTGACACACAACGTTCTCTGTAAGTTATTTTAGTTATCGCAATAACTCTTATAGAGCTTCTATACTTCCCCGTTCTCAAAAGAAGCAAGGAGATCTTTTATCGTCACTACTTAGCTCCAGATAGGTATTTTTATAGAGTTACCTGAATTTCCCCTGGAATACACTGATAAACAGTTGTAAAAATGTGTACATACGCATTTGTTTGGTTTTTTATTTCCTTTTCCTATGAGGTTGTTGCTTAAAACGAAAAACAGAAGCTTTTCCTCTCGATCTCGCTTCTGTTCTATATGTATGTTGTAAATATAAATAAGTAGTTCAGGTTACCACTTTGTTTATTCTTTTCAAACTCTTACCTTTAGAAAAGCAATGTGGGTTTACGAATACTTTCAAATCAAATCATCGTTTCTATCAGTGAACGTTAACTCAGTTTCAATTGCCGAAACTCGCATCTTACCCCGCTGTTTATTAAGGTCAAGGATTTTTGACTGTTATCACCACTAGCAATTGATAGTCTTCCCACTTTATTCCGTGTTTTGTGATTGATTGAATGGGGAAATTTTCGGGGTTAAGTTTTTCATGACGTCCGCTCAGATCCAAATCGTGTGACGACAATCGGCATTGAATCGAACTATTAGCAGTAGCTTCTGAAATGAAGTAAATTGCTTGTGACAACCATAGACTTAATTTGATTAATATTGTGTCCAAGGTCCTATGGTCCATAGTTATCCGACGCCTAACTGGAGCTCGAGAACAGCAAACTCGAGAAAACCAGGCAGGTTTTGCACCTGGATGAGGGTGCATCGATCACATTTTCACCCTCTCACAGGTTCTGCAACACAGGCGTGCCTACCGACCAATGGCCGTCACTTGACATATTTGTTGACCTGAAGGCGGCATTCGACTCCGACCGGTAGGTGTTGTGGTAGTGCCTGACTTTGAAAGGAGTACCGAACAAGTATGTAACACTAATCAAAGTTCTCTAGTCGAAATCACACAGCCGTGTTAGGGCTTATGAAGAGTTGTTATGTGAATTTACGACAAATACTGGTGTGCGTCAGGGATACTAACTGTCATCGACCCCCCTTAACTTCGTTATATACGTACTCATGGATATAACCTTAGGTAAGTCTGACTTCACACGGATTGATCCACTTCCCGGAGGGCATCTCGTTAACTTAGAATAGGCAGAAAACAATGTTCTGTCAGATGAAGACGCTGACATAATGCAGAGTCTTCTGTACGCACTGAGCAGAAATCTCGGTGTGTTTAACATGCGTTTTGCTGGCACCTATCAAATGTAATATGATACTCCAGGACTACTGTACCGCAGGTACTTCCAGTTTAATGATAGGTAGCGAAGTAGTGCAATGCATCGACTACTTGAGTTACTTGGGGAGTTGTGTCAGCTCGAACTGGGTGGTTGCTGACGAAATCTCTATTTCGATACAAAAGGCCTGTTTTACATTTGCCAACTTGAGTCATCTGTGGCACTGATTGGCGAGATATCCGACCACTTAGTAAAGGAGTAGAATGCAGTTTGTTCTGTCCTGTAATGCGGGTGTGAGATATGGCTGTTGAAAGTAGAGTAGAAGAAGTGATTACATGGTTCTGATCACAGATGTCTTCATAGCCTTGCTCGCGTTTGGTGGAATCAGTGTGTGAGCAATGTTGAGATCAGGCGACGAGTAGTAGGGATGATAGGGAAGTCGATTGATGAGGTCGTGAACCTACATTGTCTGAGATTGCTTCGATAGGTGTTGCGCATGCTGATCCACCGCCTGTCTCGAAGTGTTGTGCTAGGGTAAGTTGGATTAGGTTGTAGGAGTGTTGAGGGTTGTCAGATCAATACCTGGTACTAGTTGATGAAGTCCCTGACTGCTGGTCTGAGCCCTGTTGGGAGATGTAGACCGCCCGGCTGAGTTACCCAAGATGAAAAGAATCAGTGGTTTGAGAATCTCGGTAATATGGCTGAAAGTTGGTGAGAATGGCGCTGACATGTTCACTCTGTATCATTTCTGAAGTCTTTAATATTTGCGTTAACCTTCAACTTGAGGTTGTTTATTTTCTGTCAAGTTTGTCTTCGCTAATGTCACTTTTCTCTTCACCTGTTCTTCATGTACTACTGTGAAGTGTGGCAAATTGAGCCGATGCAGCTGTGTGCGAGTCTGAACGTTGATTCTGTTCGTCTATAGGGCTTACAGTTAAGCAGCACTACTCAATATCAGCGGTAAACAGACGAAATATCAACATAAGACTAAGCATTACTGAGTAGTGGTGCAAGTTTCCGAACTTCATGTCAGCACATCAAATAAGATTGCACTTAGATGAAGGATGAAGAAATAAAGAAAACAGTCAAAGGTGTCAGGAAGTTATTTAAAGTCGGCAAATTTTTTTGTACAATTGGATCATCATCACTATCAGCTTAGTACCATGCATTACTGCGTAACTTTCCAAGTTGCCACAGCTCGGTACAGTACATCAAGTAGAAAGTCGGTGAAGTAGAAGATGAGAATCAGTATAGTGTTAAGACGAGGATAATGTGTGTATATATCTGCGCCACTGACATCGGTTCTGAGCCGTATCACCTAGATCGGATCAAGGGTATCCTAAATTGTGGATTTAAACGGCACTCGAATTCGGTTTTATTGGTAATTCATCCGACCACTTATAAGGTGCTTTCCATGTATGGTAGGTGCATAAAGGTTTTGAATTCTCTTTTAAAGTGTCATCACTATTTTAATGATGGATAAAGGCTGGCAGTAGGATGCAAATGCGCGTATCACCCTGTTTGGAACTCGTCATCTGGATGTTCCTGCACTTAATGAGTGATGTTGTTCCCTTCGGCTCTTGACGAGGAGTAACTCTGCCATTATTATTACTATTATTATCATTTAAGACCTGTGTTATCACTGTTATTTGTGTTTTACCAGCAAGCTTTTATAATTTTAATCATGATTTTCAATGGGTAATGTATCTAAGTTTTTATCGCAAGTTGTCCACCCTACTAGTAACCCTATTTTGGTCCCTTTCCTAGCTATTTTTATAGTCCAACTGACTCAGGGTGAGATGATTTAAAGTCGGTGTAGCGATATGAATGAGGAGGCTTCCAATAGACATCGATACCAAGACGTCTACCTTGATTTCGTTTTGTCGTGCAGTCCAACATCTCTAACTCTTGTACATCATTTTCTGATTCATAGACCGAATTGCGTTCACTACTGAATTTATGTGTTAAAAGAACCTATTTATATGGTACAGTTTTAGTGGTGTAAGTGTATCATCTACTATATCTTTGGTGCACGTTTGCTTATTTCCAGGTCATTTCGTTTCCATAAATATGTTCCGTCCCATAAGTATGTCTACTATGATAAGGGATGATGGTAATAAAATGACAACTGCTATTTGGATATTTCACTCTGAAACTTTAAGATTGTAGACGTCAGAAATAACCGTACTCGTAGGGTTATTCCCTTGATTTGTACCGTAGTTAGATCCATGAGCTTACAGTCATCATTGAGTCCATTTCTATCTGCATCCAGAGCCATATGGGTCGCTACATTGGCAACTTTTTAGTTGGAGTGTTTCTAAAATCTAATATGAATCTGATGGGGTGGATAACCTTACTTATAAATATTAATAGTAACATATATCCTACTGGGATTACTAGTTGTCTGCATTAAATTAAACTATTTCGATTCACCTAAAAATGATTTCATTCAAATTATTAGGTTCATTGTATTTTTTCCAACCTTACTTAAAATTATTATTTGTTCCTTGGCTTCCTAATGGAACATAGGGCTTCTGTAGCACGTCTCCATTCCACTCTGTTCTCTGAAATCTTTTGAACCTGGCTCCACGACAGCCCACAAGCTCTCTCTCTCCATTTCCTCCCCGCACAATCTCCTCCATGTCACCCTCGATACCGACGCCCAACTCACCGCTTCCCATCTGGGTTCCACTCGAGTGCCTGGCCTGGCGAGTGATGTCCCCAGTCGACCTCCCTAGTGTATGCCCAGTCCATCTCCACTTCTGCATATTTGTTGAGCGATAGGTTCTTGGTTGGTTTGTTGCAGGCCAGAGTTCCTTGTTGCTTATTCTTGTTATTCTGGCCATCTGAGCATCAAAATCGAGCCAGCGTAGGCAGTTGTTGATGAATGTTTGTAATTTTTTGGAAATCCCTTCCGTAACGCGCTAAGTTTCTGAGCCATATAGGAGCACTGACTTGACGTTGGTGTTGAAAATCTGGATCTTGTTCACGCTTTATGCTGAGTGCAGAAGATCTTCACACTGGTTTCAGGCTAATGAATGCCTGTCTTGCTGTCTTTCCGATCCTGGCTTTGACGTCAACGTCTGCGCCACCTGTAGTTGAAACAGTGCTGCCTAGATTGGTGAAAGAGGCTACTTCCTTTAAGTTTCTGCCATTGATGGTGATTGAAGCTTGTTGTTGTTGGTTGGGTATCTTCACCTCCTCTCTCTTCTCTACGTTCACTTGAAGTCCCGTCCACCATTTTGTTAATTCCTATGTGCTTGTTCGCTTCGCGAAAATTTGGTAATCAATATATTGTATTCATTTCAAAGGTTCCTTAAAGCTTCCCTTTCTGGTTTCGGTAAATTTGATTTCATTTGCTTTTATCGTGTGAGCGTTCATGCTTATTGTGCTCATACCTCATCTACTGAATTTAATGGAATTTCAGTTTTAGAAATGACATCTACAGGTTTCAATTGATTAACTGCTAGATTGAAGTTGATTCCCTTCTCTAGTCAAAAGATTGGCAACCCGTTTTGATTTATCAATCCATGGTGATGCGGTATTGTTGATCTCATTAATGCCGACTGCATACTTTCCTTCTATTAGTTTGTTGAAATTCCTAATTTGAGTATTTTATTTCAGCACAGAATTCTTCAGTAATAAGTTATTACATCTATTGGTGTACAAAACGATTGCCGAGTCAAACCATATTCATTAGAATTGTTTTGCATTGATTCTAACGTAAGAAGGTGAAAAACTGCCAGTGGAAGCGGTATTATTATTTTGATGAAGCAAATTCCCGAAAACATACTTCTCATAATTAGCTGGTAAATATAGGTTATGTTTAGACAAATCCCAGAGTGTTGGAAACAAAAATTTCCAACGTTTCGCATGTCTTCCAGAAGCTCATGTATTTGTGATGACTGACTTTAAAGGTCACTCTAACAACTGATAGGATAACCAATTAGGCTTCAGGATTTCGGCTGCGAAGTTTTGAGCAGATAAAGAATGGTAATTAGTTACCTCATGAATTGTTAGGGCGACCTTTAAAGTAACCAATTTAAAATAATTTTATTC